ATATATTAAAAATAATACAATGCCTTCTTTAAAAAGCAAGCAACACTAGTGGTAAATACAGCTCTTTAGCAGTCCTACTCAACCTGGTGCCCATCAGGTGTGTTGAACTTCCATAATCCCCAGCCAATATCACCCTGAATTGTGCTCAATGGGGCATTATAGGAATTAAAGTTTACCGTACTTGTAGTATACTAAATTGGGTCATGCTGTGACTGATTATTTCTCTTTCTGTTGGAGAAAGTTGGTGATGGAATCCCCACCCCCACTTTTTTTTTTTTTTTTTTTTTTTTTGATGCTACAATTTAAGGATCCATTTCTACATTGATTTGCTGAAATCTGCAATCATTGTGAAACCTTGGCCAAGTTAATACTCTATTTTAAAAATGAAGGACAAAATAAAAATCATAGTAATACTGTCACTTTATATCCATAATTAACGGTCTTGCTTACTCTCCTATTTCAGAATCGGTAACCTATCTGTAATTGACCACCCTCCAGTGCTTAATCAAATTCTAATTGATAAATGAATAGTAGTGATGGCATTATATGAAAAACTTGTTAGGTGTCAAAATCAGTCATCAGATTACGCTGCTTTGTAATCTTTATTTTTCTGATACAAATTAAGATATAGTAATACTAAAACAACTCACAGTAGTCAAAATAATATTTAAAAAGGTAAGATGAAAAACATGGCATCATAGCATACATTTAAATATACAAGCATGATACAAAAAGTTGAATTGCAGCCATACTTAGGGTGGGGAGAACTTTACATTAGAAAAAAAGGGGGCAACAATGGAAAGTCGCAATGCAAATACCCCTTCCAAAACACACTTTTAAATAAAGAAAAATAAAGTCCCAAGCTTGGCTCTTTAATACTTCTAGAAAATATATTGATAAAATGAACAAATTTCACTTTTCCAGCATAAAGTGATGGGGCAGAAGGTGTCAGTGGGACCAAGCCTGCCCCTCCTCCCTTTTTCATCTGGAGTTTCTCCTTTTTTCTGCCTTCTACAGTCTCAGTGTATTTCCCCAATTAACAATCTTTTAGTTTTCATTTTTTCTGCACTAGGAAGTAAGGGCTAGCGAGCCCAATCTCTCTCTTACGTCTCAAGTAACTCAGGGAGAGGCAGGACATGTAAATAACCCCCAGGAATGTTTTAGCTCAATGGACCACTCTGTAGCTCTAATGTGTTAGGTGTCTCATCATAAGACCACAGAGGTTCAGATCTCTTACTATGAACATTTATTTGCAATTCAGTCCCATTAGGTTCATGGGGAATTACTTCTTGGTAAGCACTGCTCTCCTCCTGGTGATAGCTGCCCTAACTGCATCACCCACCTGAATTGCCAGCCATTGTTATTCCTCTTGGTGGATATGATCCTTCGCCACAGAGGCAGAGCAAGAGCAGGTCTGCCAAAGGAGGAATTGATGTTTTCTCGCTCCCAAGCCTCCCCAACCTGTCTATCAAAAGGAGGATGCGCAAGCTGAATAGATTCTGCTCATGTTATCACTTGCTGCATTCACTTCCTCACAGACTCCCTTCTAGCTAATGCTGAAGGGGGAAGTTTGCCTTCCTGTTGAAATGAAACTGCTCCCCCAGGAGCCTACCCTGCTGTGATCTGCCTGTGGTTTATTGGGTTTCCTTCCTCCAGGCTAAAAAAAACCCTCAAACCCCTATGAAGGATATAGAAATGTTTATGCATGTTATAAAGGTAGCAGATTTGGGTAAATTTAGCCCAAAGTTATCATTCAGTGATCAATTTACATGTTTGTAAGAGGTATGAATGAGATCCTGATTTCAAAGATACAATATGATGGAACTGGTACTCTCAGGGCAGAGAACAGAGATATTGTATACTGCAACATGGTTAATTGAGACACCCTATTCCCACTCAGCTAACTCACCTCCATACGCTGGCAAGTGTCTGACAAGCGATGTTCCAGCCAGTCCTTCTAGTAGTCATGTCTATATTTTGTGTGTCTCCCAGCCCTTGCACTGAAGGCTGGGAAGTTGCTACTTCATTTCCTGCCCCACCCCCATTGGAACAAATAAAAAATAATGTCTAACTTTTCATCGGAATAACATTGTTGCAGATGGAATAAAGGAGTCTTAACTATTTCTGCCTGTCCTGCCATGCTTGTTTCTGCCTGTTTTTCATATACACAACCTGCAGTGGCTGTGTAACAGATGAAAAACTGAGTAGGCCACAAAGATGGAATACCAGAAGACTTTCTCTTTTCATGGGCCTCTCTAGGTATTCATCTCAATCACAGATGTTGGAAGACATAATTAACTTTTTAAAAAATTGTTTGGTGGGCAATTATTTGATTGAATAAAATTAGGCCCAAACAAACCAGTTCTATCTGATGTTCTGTCTGGTGTTAACCTGTTTAGAATAATTGTTTGGGTCCTTTACTTTGGGTTACTTGTTTACGCAACTCATTATCTCCCTCTATGGCCCAATTGCGTGTGTCACATGGACAGGGCCAGAGTGTTTTGGAAGGGGCATTTGCATTGCGACTTTCCATTGTTGCCCCCTTTTTTTCTAATGTAAAGTTCTCCCCACTCTAAGTGTAGCTGCAATTCAACTTTTTGTATCATGCTTGTATTTGACTTCCACACAGAAAAAACCATGAATGTGTGTGATGTTGAACAGAAAAATAATGTGGATACCCATATATGCAGTGCTTCTCTTGATACTCCACTACAAGCGGTGATGACATTTCACCAAAAGAAATTGGATGAACTTAAGAGCCCAGCTTACAAAAGGACAGGCATTTGAAGCCACTCAGAAAAGGTATACTTACTTATTTATGAAATGTTAATTCTATTTTTTAATCAATGCAACTATTCCAAAGTGGATAGAATTTTTAAAAATTACAATAAAACAATTCCTGCATTAAAAAAAAAAAGCTTAAAATCCCAGAAACTAAAAAAGAACAAGTTGAACATCAATAACAACTTTGAGCAGCCATCCAAAGTTAGCAAAAGTCTTGGGTGTTCAGATACATCTCAGTGCCTTATAATTAAAAGCTGTCTCAAGATGGTATCATTTTTGAAGACAGTTGGGTCAAGATATAATTGGGCATATATTTGTGTGCAATACTATCCAAATCTGTAAAGCAAGCACTCCAATAAAGTGAAATTGAACCTAACCTTCTCCTGAAGTAGCAGTTTATTGAAAGATAAAATTTCCAATCTATATTCTGAATGTACAGGCTCATGTGTTATTCTTCTTATATTTTATGAGAATTCATAACTGGACTACACTTAGATAAATTCAACTGACATGGCAGAACATATAAAGGGATATGTCATCCAGCACATAGTTCATCATTTTTTTTAAGTGAATTTCTTTTGTCTGGAAAAGGCCTATGGAGAATTTCCTCTATGGGAAAGACGGTCCTCCATTTTACAGAAGCTTCCTTTCATTTGTGGTACTAAAGTTTGCCTTTTTTTTCTTGCACTATTCATGAAACAGACTCTACTGTCTGTTGGTTTTGGTCTTCTATCAGCTATGCATCCTCTGTTCTGAACTCTCCCAATTGTTATTTTTTCTTCAGCAATTTATTGTACACCTTTATCAATATCCTTTCCTCATTTAATGGAATGTGTGTGATGAAATATATTGTTCATTTACACACAAGATGCACATTTAGTTTTATTCCACAAAGCATTGGAAGAAGGGGAAGTACTTCCTATGGTTATGCATGAACAGTAAAACAGTTTCCTATTATCTATGGTAACCGACTGTGAGCTGTCTAATACAATACAATGCAATTTTCAAGAAGATTGTATGAATTCTACGCAAGGGTGCCAGTTGAGGGCAGAAATAGCATTCAGGTTTCAGTCAATGCAGCTCCTAAGGAAAACAATCTGTTTGAAAACTTGAAGATTACTTTTAACTGAGTGTAGTTCGTTTGTCTTAAAGTTTTGGTTTGTACCTAGGGAGACATGAATTTGTCCATTTCAAATTTATATAACTTTCTATGAGATTTTTTAAAAATGTATAAAATTGATAATATTTTGTATTCATTTCTCCAACCTCCACCCATGTTCTTGTATTCTTTTTCCTAAAACATAATTTTTGCAAGCAATATTCTCTAACATGATAGATTTTTTTTCTTCTATATTCTTTTTTCCTGCTAACAATTCCAATTTTGTAGGCTTACAATTCAACTGGAAAGCTATATCACAAATTCAGGTAAGTGTGAATAATTCAACATATACACTGATTTAATAAGTAGAGTTTAATTAAGACTCCTTGTCCCTGCCCTGCATGTTTCTCTTTTTTGAAGACAAAGCCTACAACAACCTTTAAAATGCATCAAACTTGTCAGATTTATCAGATCATCAAACCTTGGAAAAACAGAATACATTTATTTACAAAGGTTTAAAAGATCTAACATGATTATTAGGTAGTAAAGTGACTTAGCTATATTTCAAAGAGAAAGAGAAAAAAAACCCCCAGTAATTTCAAGAAGTCAGACTCCCACTAATAATTTGGATTACTTTTCAAATTATTATGGGTTTTATTAATCCAAAAATCAAGCATGCAAGGACTGAAGGTGCTTGCACCTTCTTATCAATAAACATGTTTGTCACAGCTATGCAATTGAATATGCTGCTTTAGAAGATATTCAAAATCATACAGGAATCATTTGGCATCTCCTCATTGTTATCCCATTTTTTTATTCAGAAAATGTGTAGGGCTGCCTATCTAACATACAAACTCTGGTTCATAACAATCAAGAAAAAATATAATAAAATTATGTTAATAAAATTATGATATTGTAAGATAATATAATAACCACTATAAACCAACCAGAAAGCAGAATTAAAATTATTGTTATATAATAATCAAGACATTGTATAACAAATTTGCAACACAAACCATACTTATATTGACCCATCTAACATCTTGTCTCAGCACCTGGGGAAAAATCCAAATCGGCACAGCCTTTCAGAAGGCCAAGAGGATTGGGACCTTCCAGATCCTAGGTGGAGGTTGTTCTATTGGGCAGGCACTGCAACTAAGGAAGTGCAAGTGTTTAGTACTGTAAGATGTCATTGTTTAGTAGACGGAACTTGGAGCACATTCACCCTGTTGGATTTGGTGGGACAGGCAGAGACCCCCCGAGATAGGCAGTCCTGCAGATAACCTGGTACCTTTGAGTTGTACCCAGAAACACATTAATTTTGTACCCCAAAAAGAGGTCAAACAAAAAAGTGTTATATTTGTAAAAAGCATTTAAGAACACAAAGGGTCTCTTATTCATTTTGACTGATTAATTCTGTGCCATCAGGTTCGTGTCAGCTCTTAGTGACCACATAGTTGTATTTTCTTCAAGAGGATCTGTCCCCAACCTGGTCCTTCAGAACTTCCAGTGGTGCACCCATCACCCTTGTAATTGAGTCCATCTACCTTGTACCTTACTCATTTGGCCAGATTAAAATGGGCCTGGATAGTTTGTGGTTTAGCATGTTGTAGGAACTCAGCTACTGTCTTAATATGCTGTGTGGACCAGTCTATTACATTTAGCCAGGTAGGAGTTATTGTTCTAAGGAAAGTATGTTAAGTAAATAAATAAACTGTGTTTAGTTAATGTATGTTTAGAGTTTAGCATATTATGATAGTTATTATCAATCTAGCTAGCTTAGTACTGTTGACAGCAGCTCTACAGATGGAAGATCTTTTCTGAGATGGTAGGGATGTTATGCTTGCAAAACATGGGTGCTATAGGCTTTGATTTGATAATTTTTATCAAAAAGGATTTGATAATCCTACTCACCACCATTTAATGGTGAGTAGTTGCTTTATTTTAATTAGCTTATTTGGTTTTATTGAGTTTACACTGATCTAAATTTGGTTGTGATTAATTCTTCTTTTATTTCTGATTTTACTGTTTAAAATTATTTAAAAAAAATTTTTTTTTATTTATGACTACATGCTTTGAGTTTACTTACTTAAGGATTCTATCTAACAAAACTCCATTTAGCATACTTATTTCCCCGAGCTACAAATGAACCTGTCTTTTGGCATTTCTGCACTGCAAGCTACGCTGCTTGTCTTTTCTGCTTGTCTTGGCTGTTTCTTAAGACAAATTTAGAAATTCCAGCCTATATTGCAGTAGGCTGGCAATAAGGCCAGGCTGGTATTCAATCCAGATTATGGCTATGGCAAGGTCTAATTAAGAGCCAGTTTGGTGTAGTGGTGAAGGCATCAGGCTAGAAACCAGGAGACCCTGAGTTCTATTCCTGCCTTAGGCACAAAGCCAGCTGGATGACTTTGGGTCAGTCACTCTCTCTCAGCCCTAGGAAGGAGGCAATGGCAAACCACTTCTGAAAAACCTTGCCAAGAAAACTGCGGGGACTTGTCCAGATAGTTACCAGGAGTCAAAAACTGACCTGAAGGTGCACATGCGTGTACCCACCCACCTACCC